GTTATTTCTAATTCGATCCCAGTGCAAAATGTTGCTGAAATGACATGATTCTCCGGGGTTTTATTTTGTATGCCCCAAACAAATGTATTCGCTCATTACGCCACTGACTTCACCCACCCACCAACTCGCTTATTATATCTCTCGTTCTCTCTCTCTCTCTCTCTGTCTGGATGAATTGAAATCATTTTCTTTCTGTAAACAAATGTAAAAAAATTAAAATGAATGACCCCACTCGCAACAATGAAACCCGTCAGAAATATAAATCAATATGAATATCAAAGTATGCGTGCGATCATGCAAGGCATTAGGGTACGTTTATGCTCAATTTTTAAGGCAGAATGAGCGATTTGAAACGCTCATCGTAAACGCTCATTGTAATCACAGTTCCACGGTGTACTGTTTATGCTCACTTATCTGGCTCCTCCAGGCATGATTCTCTCTGCAGCTGGATTCGCAAACCTGCACTGCGCTGTCTAGCGTATGCTACGTTGACACCATTTAAACGCGTTTACAGATGATTGTGCGTTTATGCTTCCCCTGAATTGCTGATTTTCCAGAATCGCCGCAACCAAAAGGACGCAACCGTGTTTTGAACTAAACGCGTAACAAATGCCTCATTCTGGCCAGAAAAAGTTGAGCATAAACGTACCCTTACAATTACACAACTTGATCGCGTTCAACTGGAGTTCCCAACGCTCTGTGTTATTACTTCCTCGTATGCTCTACAAGTCGTGTTGTTATGAATGGGGAGTCGACATTTGAGAACTTTCCCACCTCAGGCAAGTTTTATTGGATTTGGCAAAGTAGGTGATATCAAGTTAATGCAATCAGAGCGGACAGTCAAGAATTCGGCTGGAATTGTTATTTAACTGATTCGTATTTAAAGTCTCGCCATTATCGCATTTTTCTCTTGTTCTCTCTCTGTCTTTCTCTTCCATATATATCTTTCTACCCTATCCCTCTGTTACTCTCCCCTTCTCTTTCCTGCTTTCTCTCTCTATCTCCCTCTCCCCTTTCTCTCAGTCTTGCTTCTTCTCTATCTCTCTCTCCCTGTTTTCTCTCTCTCTCTCTTTCCCTCTCTCTCTATCTCTCTCTCACATACACACACACACCTACTATGACTCTCACACTGTCTTTCATGCCCATGCTCACCCTCTCTCATACGCTCTCCAGTTCCATAAGTACTGCAATAAACATAATGACTTCTCCGTCTCACTAGGCAAGAGATATGTATTCAATTGTCTGGTTGCCTGGCTACCTTTAAAGGCAAATTCCCTGATATAATAGTTTCATTTTCATATGGAGCAGGCCCCTAATACACAAGGTAACAAACGCACGACTCTAGCTATTTGAGCATAAACATGTATGAACCATAAATCAAAGCCAAACTTTTGTTCTTATTAAACTTCCAAATTACATATTATGGAGGTAATTTTCTTTTTTACCGTTCAATAACAAAACATACTAGTCGGTGTCATCTGTCACCTTCAGTTTAATTGTCATGATTATGCATTGATAACATGACTAATATTAGTAGTGTAGACCAAAGTGTACAGCAGGCTTCATAAGAAATCTTTCTTTACTGACTCTGATAAAACATCAACTACAGTAGATAACTGCAGTAAAGAAAAGATTGATCCCTGATGTAGACCTACTCCAATATTAAAACTTTAAGAGTACTTACTTTCAAATCTCTGTTCCTTAAAGGCATCGTTTAACAATGATAACTCTGAGATCCATTGCTCTACGTGTTATCGGTGTCTGTGATATGGTGTAATATTTAAGCCCTAAAAAAATGACTTTCAAAATGATTATGAAGTGCCTCAAAAAAATTAAAAATTCTCCGAGTGACCGGTTTTACCATAGTGTTATAAAATCCGATAGGAAAACGAAAAATTAAATTTCGATTTCTAATCATATATATCTTGGTAATCAGACAGGCGATCAGCTTGTAAAAGTCATGGGATTCCTGCCTGACCTAAAGGTTTATAATTATGATTGCAGCATAAGCTGAATCCAGGAGTTTGTTTAAGAATCTGAGGCAATGTTACCGAGTCACTTTAAGTCTTTATGATGGCCCACTCGCTTTACTGCAATGCATGTGTGCCAATGCTTTCTTTATCTCCTTCTTGTATATCCCTGAATCTGGACCATCTACTTTACTAGCATTCACAACATCCCAAACATTAAGAAAGAGGAAGAAGAGAGAAAAAAATCAAGAGAATAAAGAACGATGGAGATTTCTTGGAAAGAAAGACTGACAGTCACCACTTTCAAACAAACATCTACCATACATACGTCGAATGTGGGTTATTGAAGTGTTGAAAAGTGTAACATTCTCTTTTAATGTCAAATGATGCTGCATTCAATCCTCTTCTCCTTATAGGGGTTAGTCACGCCAGGGATGGGTATCCCCGTCAGAAGGCATTGTTGCATATCTTTTAGTTACACAACTTGATCGTGTATAACTGGAATTCATGACGCTGTATGTTATTACTTCCTCTTAGGCTCTACATGTCCTGCCGTTAGGAACGGTGAGTCGACATTTGAGAACTTTTCTACTTTCTCAAGTCAAGGAAGTTTGGATGTTACGAGCATTTTTACCAAACTGTTGGGCTCAATATTTGTAATAATGTAAACAAATCACGAGGTTTTTTTTGTCTTTTCCAAATATGTATTATCTGAAAAACCTTTCAACTGTTTGGATTTTTATTAGGAGTTTTAAGTGTTAGACCTGCTCAACATACATTTGACTGATGAATATTACACACACGTGTATAGCAATGAAACAGAAGAGTGTGGCTTCTCAGAATACGGGGTTATAAAAACTAATTATGTTTCAAAGTGGCTTTTACACACCATGAATCTGCCAATTCAAACACTTTGTCTCGATGAATACTCCCCAGGGAGTGGAGAATGTGCATGCATTGTGTGCGGGTAAGCCTGAATCCGATGACCGGGATAATAATATATATCTGTAAAGCGCTTTGAGAGGGCCTTCGGTCTTGAAAAGCGCTATATAAGAACTAACTATTATTATTATTATTATTATCCAAACTGAGTCGATGTCTTTTTACAGGATGCGCATTTTGAGTGGAAACAAAAGCATTTGATACGCCAAATCACAATATTTTGCATAAAAAGCTTCAAGTTTATGGAATTCGAGAAGTTGTTTCATGATGGGTTTTCATCGGAATATCTTACAATTAATTGTGTAGTCACACAAGGATCAATATTAGATCCCCTTCTTTTCTTATTGTATATTAATTATATAACCAATGCATCATCCCTGTTATCGTTTATGCTCTTTGCTGACGACACCAACATTTGTTATTCTCATGACGATTTGGATGCCCTTATTCATACACTCTATTTAGAATTACCAAAAGAAACAAACTGGTTTAAAAGTAATAATTTATCTCCTAATACCAATACACGACTTCATACACTTAAAGCCGTTTTAAGTATTGCCCCCAATTCGCCAAGAATTTTGATGTCAAAATTTCACTTGAATTGTATCATAACGTGAAAGAGGATGTCATTTAAGACAAACTTCTTCAAAGATTCCACCCCCCCCAAAAAAAAAAATGTGTTTATTCAAACAATTTGTTTTCTTTACAATAGCCTCAGAACGTCAGAAATGTACCCCCCCCCCCCCAAAAAAAAATAAATATATATATATATATATATAATAAATAAATAAAATAAATAAAATAAAAATTAAAAAATTAAAAAAAAATAGATAACCTTATTGATAAAACGTTGAGCTAAGATGAACACATACGACATATAATTACATGCATATCTAGGAATATTGGCATACTTTATAAGACAAAAAGATATCTTTCTAAAAAGACCCTTTTAATGCTATATAACTCGTTCATCTTGCCATACAATTCATATTGTAACTCGGTATGGGCTTCAAGTGCAAAGACAAAAATTAACCCTATTTATTTAATGCAAAAGAAAGCGCTTCGCGTATATGCATCACTATATTGTGTAACTCCTGTATACTTATATAAGTTTTCATCATTAACATCAGCATCATCAACATTATCACCATCACCAGTGTTTGTCTTAATTTCGTTATCATCAACCAACCACGATATCAAGTAATCGCTTATTGTAATAGCCTTTCTTCTTCTTATGCCACTTTCTTAATGAATAATTATTGGTATTGTGTTATCCGTTAAAATTTGTTTTAGAGTCATAATAGTATTGTATTGTATACACATTAAAAAACCTTGCTATATTTTTTATATATTGTATTTCTGAAATGTAATTTGATTTGTATGTTGCAGAAGAAAACAAATTCAATTCAATTCAATTCAACTATACATGTACATCTGCAGTGTAAATGTACTGTATATGGCAATTCTTACAGGTATTAACAGTATCAGTCCATGGGTCAAAAACTTTGATGGCTCCACCCCCTTACTCAAATGTTTGTCTAAATAGTTGATAAAGCGTTAAGATGAAGGGCACCGAATTCAAATGTTGTACGAGACCGTGAATGGCTTCTTGAGATAAAGAAATGGAATACAAAGCTGGTGAAAACTTTTATGAAGCAATAGGAGGGAAAGCCTTACTGAACTTGTACGTCACCCTATATATGATTAACGCCTTTTCATAAACCATATAAAATAAAGAAAAATCATGACGACGAATAATGATTAATATAACATTCAGAGAAGTCATTTTTTCATGGCTTCAGTTATTTCAAAATATGAGAATCCCGTATTAGACCAAAATCCGTATTAAATACCTCTGTATTCATTGCTATACCTCGATTTTATACTGACAATCATCTCTTTGATCTGCAGTACCATGTTTGTACATTTTCCTACTTCCTTTATTGTCTTGGTTCATTCAAATTTAAATATTAATTATTTTAGAGCGGTAAACTCCTATGTCAAGTTTTCTCCCCAATATTTGTTTTCCTTTTTATTCAATATATAGTGAGAGAGAATACACATACCGATAGAGAAGACAGAATGGACATGGCGCTTTCTAAAGCAGTGAAGGAAGACGATCTTGTAAAGACAAGGTCTATTCTAGAAGACGAGACAGGTGATGCTAAGCTGGACATGCTATGCACTGTGGATCCTGATGGAAAGACACCCCTCCATATCGCTTCAGAAAAAGGGCATATCGACCTCGTGAAATATATGACTGATTTGGGGGCGGACCTAGAAAAACGAAGTAGAAGCGGCGACGCCCCTCTTCACTATGCGTCTCGGAGTGGTCACCAGGATGTTGCTCAATATCTCATCGGTAAAGGAGCAGATATCAATATCGGTGATCGCAATGGCTATACACCTCTCTATCTTGCTTCCACAGAGGATCATGTTGGTATTGTTGAATGTTTATTGAACTTTAGAGCAGATTTAAACAAACATTTACATGATCGTTCTACGCCCCTTTATACTTCAGCGAGTAAGGGCCATTTTGATGTTGTGAAATATCTCATAACTAAAGGAGCCGATCTTGAAACGAAGGGTCCTAAGAGTCAGACCCCACTTTCAATTGCGTCATTAAATGGTCATCTTGAGGTTGTGAAGCATCTTATAAGCCAGGGAGCAGAGCTACATACTGGGGATGAAGATGGCTATACACCTCTGTATGATGCTTCACAGGAGGGTCACCTTGATGTTGTTGAATGTCTAGTGAATGCAGGAGCTAATGTTAACAAAGCAGCAAAGAGTGGTTCAACACCTCTGTATGTAGCATCTCAAAACGGTCATCTAGATATAGTGAAGTATCTCATTAACAAAGGACCAGATATTGATAGTCGAGGTTTTAACGGTAAGACGCCGCTTCATGTCGCATCATTCTCTGGCCATCTTGCAGTTGTCAAGTATCTTCTCAGTCAAATAGCAGAGAAAGACATGGGTGATAACGATGGCTATACACCTCTGTATGATGCTTCACAGGAGGGTCATCTTGATGTTGTTGAATGTTTAGTGAATGCAGGAGCTGATGTAAACAAAGCAGCAAAGAGAGGTTCAACACCTCTGTATGTAGCATCTCAAAACGGTCATCTAGATATAGTGAAGTATCTCATTGACAAAGGAACAGGTATTGATAGTCGAGGTTTTAACGGTAAGACGCCGCTTCATGTCGCATCATTGTCTGGCCATCTTGCAGTTGTCAAGTATCATCTCAGTCAAATAGCAGACAAAGACATGGGTGATAACAATGGCTGTACACCTCTGTATGAAGCTTCACAGGAGGGTCATCTTGATGTTGTTGAATGTTTAGTGAATGCAGGAGCTAATGTAAAAAAAGCAGCAAAAGGTGGTTCAACGCCTCTGTATGTAACATCTGAAAACGGTCATCTAGATATAGTGAAGTATCTCATTGGCAAAGGAGCAGGTATTGATAGTCGAGGATTTAACGGTAAGACGCCGCTTCATGTCGCATCGTTCTCTGGCCATCTTGCAGTTGTCAAGTATCTTCTCAGTCAAATAGCAGACAAAGACATGGGTGATAACAATGGCTTTACACCTCTGTATGATGCTTCACAGGAGGGTCATCTTGGGGTTGTTGAATACCTAGTGAATGCAGGAGCTGATGTAAACAAAGCAGCAAAGAGTGGTTCAACACCTCTGTGTGCAGCATCTAATCAAGGTCATCTAAATATAGTGGAGTATCTGATTAACAAAGGTGCAGATGCTTCACAAGATGGTCATCTTGATGTTGTTGAACGTCTAGTGCATACAGAAGCTGATATAAACAAAGCAGCAAAGGATGGTTTTACACCTCTCGTTTTAGCATCTCATCAAGGTCATCTAGATATAGTGAAGTATCTCATTGACAAAGGAGCAGGTATTGATAGTCGAGGTTTTAATGGTAAGACGCCGCTTCATGCCGCATCATTGTCTGGCCGTCTTGCAGTTGTCAAGTATCTTCTCAGTCAAATAGCAAACAACGACATGGGTGATAACAATGGCTGTACACCTCTGTATGATGCTTCACAGGAGGGTCATCTTGATGTTGTTGAATGTTTAGTGAATGCAGGAGCTAATGTAAACAAAGCAGCAAAGAGTGGTTCAACACCTCTGTATGTAGCATCTCAAAACGGTCATCTAGATATAGTGGAGTATCTCATTGGCAAAGGAGCAGGTATTGATAGTCGAGGTTTTAACGGTAAGACACCGCTTCATGTCGCATCATTCTCTGGCCATCTTGCAGTTGTCAAGTATCTTCTCAGTCAAGGACGAGATAAAGAGGTGGAGACTAACGATGGTCATACACCTCTGTATGTTGCTTCACAGGAGGGTCATCTTGGGGTTGTTGAATACCTAGTGAATGCAGGAGCTGATGTAAACAAAGCAGCAAAGAGTGGTTCAACACCTCTCGTTCTAGCATCTCATCAAGGTCATCTAGATATAGTGAGGTATCTCATTGACAAAGGAGCAGGTATTGATAGTCGAGGTTTTAACGGTAAGACGCCGCTTCATGTCGCATCATTCTCTGGCCATCTTGCAGTTGTCAAGTATCTTCTCAGTCAAATAGCAGAGAAAGACATGGGTGATAACAATGGCTTTACACCTCTGTATGATGCTTCAAAGAAGGGTCATCTTGATGTTGTTGAATGTTTAGTGAATGCAGGAGCTAATGTAAACAAAGCAGCAAATAGTGGTTCAACGCCTCTGTATGTAGCATCTCAAAACGGTCATCTAGATATAGTGGAGTATCTCTTTGACAAAGGAGCAGGTATTGATAGTCGAGGTTTTAACGGTAAGACGCCGCTTCATGTTGCATCATTGTCTGGCCATCTTGCAGTTGTCAAGTATCTTCTCAGTCAAATAGCAGACAACGACATGGGTGATAACAATGGCTATACACCTCTGTATGATGCTTCACATGAGGGTCATCTTGGGGTTGTTGAATACCTAGTGAATGCAGGAGCTGATGTAAACAAAGCAGCAAAGAGTGGTTCAACACCTCTGTGTGCAGCATCTAATCAAGGTCATCTAAATATAGTGGAGTATCTGATTAACAAAGGTGCAGATGCTTCACAAGATGGTCATCTTGATGTTGTTGAACGTCTAGTGCATACAGAAGCTGATATAAACAAAGGAGCAAAGGATGGTTTTACACCTCTCGTTTTAGCATCTCATCAAGGTCATCTAGATATAGTGAAGGATCTAATTGACAAAGGAGCAGGTATTGATAGTCGAGGTTTTAACGGTAAGACGTCGCTTCATGTCGCATCATTGTCTGGCCATCTTGCAGTTGTCAAGTATCTTCTCAGTCAAATAGCAGACAAAGACATATGTGATAACAATGGCTTTACACCTCTGTATGATGCTTCACAGGAGGGTCATCTTGATGTTGTTGAGAGTTTAGGGAATGAAGGAGCTAATTTAAACAAAGCAGCAAATAGTGGTTCAACGCCTCTGTATGTAGCTTCTCTAAACGGTCATCTAGATATAGTGAAGTATCTCATTGACAAAGGAACAGGTATTGATAGTCCATGTTTTAACGGTAAGACGCCGCTTCATGCCGCATCATTGTCTGGCAATCTTGCAGTTGTCAAGTATCTTCTCGGTCAAATAGCAGACAACGACATGGGTGATAACAATGGCTGTACACCTCTGTATGATGCTTCAAAGAAGGGTCATCTTGATGTTGTTGAATGTTTAGTGAATGCAGGAGCTAATGTAAACAAAGCAGCAAAGAATGGTTCAACACCTCTGTGTGCAGCATCTAATCAAGGTTTTCTAAATATAGTGGAGTATCTGATTAACAAAGGTGCAGGTATTGATAGTCGAGGTTTTAACGGTAAGACGCCGCTTCATGTCGCATCATTCTCTGGCCATCTTGCAGTTGTCAAGTATCTTCTCAGTCAAATAGCAGACAACGACATGGGTGATAACAATGGCTGTACACCTCTGTATGATGCTTCACATGAGGGTCATCTTGGGGTTGTTGAATACCTAGTGAATGCAGGAGCTGATGTAAACAAAGCAGCAAAGAGTGGTTCAACACCTCTGTGTGCAGCATCTAATCAAGGTCATCTAAATATAGTGGAGTATCTGATTAACAAAGGTGCAGATGCTTCACAAGATGGTCATCTTGATGTTGTTGAACGTCTAGTGCATACAGAAGCTGATATAAACAAAGGAGCAAAGGATGGTTTTACACCTCTCGTTTTAGCATCTCATCAAGGTCATCTAGATATAGTGAAGTATCTCATTGACAAAGGAGCAGATATTGATAGTCGAGGTTTTAACGGTAAGACGCCGCTTCATGTCGCATCATTGTCTGGCCATCTTGCAGTTGTCAAGTATCTTCTCAGTCAAATAGCAGACAAAGACATATGTGATAACAATGGCTTTACACCTCTGTATGATGCTTCACAGGAGGGTCATCTTGATGCTGTTGAATGTTTAGTGAATGAAGGAGCTAATGTAAACAAAGCAGCAAATAGTGGTTCAACGCCTCTGTATGTAGCTTCTCAAAACGGTCATCTAGATATAGTGAAGTATCTCATTGACAAAGGAACAGGTATTGATAGTCCATGTTTTAACGGTAAGACGCCGCTTCATGTCGCATCATTGTCTGGCAATCTTGCAGTTGTCAAGTATCTTCTCAGTCAAATAGCAGACAAAGACATAGGTGATAACAATGGCTATACACCTCTTTATATTGCTTCACAGGAGGGTCATCTTGATGTTGTTGAATGTTTAGTGAATGCAGGAGCTGATGTAAACAAAGCAGCAAAGAGAGGTTCAACACCTCTGTGTACAGCATCTCAAAACGGTCATCTAGGTATAGTGAAGTATCTGATTAACAGAGGAGCAGGTATTGATAGTCGAGGTTTTAACGGTAAGACACCGCTTCATGTCGCATCATTCTCTGGCCATCTTGCAGTTGTCAAGTATCTTTTCAGTCAAATAGCAGACAAAGACATGGGTGATAACAATGGCTATACACCTCTGTATGATGCCTCACAGGAGGGTCATCTTGACGTTGTAGAATATCTCATTGCTGAAGGAGCAAACCTGAACGCATGCGATAATAATGGATTAACACCCCTCTATATCTCTTCACAAAACGGACATCTTGATGTTGTTAAATGTTTAGTGAGTGGAGGAGCAGATGTAACCAAATCAGCAAAAAACGGTTCCGCACCACTTTATACTGCATTGATTAAAGGCCACCTTGACATTGTAAAATATCTTATCATTAGAGAGGCAGATATCGGGAGCAGAGATGACATCGGCACTATGGCAATTCGTCATGCATTTCTTAATGTTTACCTCGATGTTGCCAAATATCTCATCGGTAAAGTTGACAACCTTGATAGGTGTGATATTGATGGTAACACACCTCTTTATCTCTCATCACAAGGAGGTTATCTCAAAGTAGTTGAATGCCTCGTGAATAAAGGAGCAGATGTGAACAAAGCAGTAGGAGATGATGGCGACACACCCCTCTACGCCGCTTCACAAGGAGGCCATCTCGAGGTAGTTGAATGCCTCGTGAATAAAGGAGCTGATGTGAACAAAGCATCAGGATCTGGTGGCTTCACACCCCTCTACGCTGCTTCACAAGGAGGCCATCTCGAAGTAGTTGAATGCCTCGTGAATAAAGGAGCTGATGTGAACAAAGCATCAGGATCTGTTGGCTTCACACCCCTCTACGCCGCTTCACAAGGAGGCCATCTCGAGGTAGTTGAATGCCTCGTGAATAAAGGAGCTGATGTGAACAAAGCATCAGGATATGGTGGCTACACACCCCTCTACGCTGCTTCACAAGGAGGCCATCTCGAAGTAGTTGAATGCCTCGTGAATAAAGGAGCAGATGTGAACAAAGCATCAGGATCTGATGGCTACACACCCCTCTACGCCGCTTCACAAGGAGGCCATCTCCAGGTTGTTGAATGCCTCGTGAATAAAGGAGCAGATGTGAACAAAGTCTCATCAAACAAGGGTACACCTTTACATGAAGCAATACAGGGAGGACATGTTCACGTTCTAAAATACCTTATCTCAAAAGGCGCAGACCTCAAAAGTGTTGATGGTGATCACTCTACACCTCTTCATATTGCTTCACAGACAGGTCCTTTTGATATTGTTGAGTGTCTCGTTAATGCAGGGGCAGATTTAAATAAAGTATCACATGATGGTTCTGCACCACTAAGTATAGCATTACGTTATAATAAGCAAGACACCGCAGAATTGTTCATGTCTAAGGAAGCGGATGTGGGAAATGAAGTTGAAATTGTTCAAACCGCCCTCCGCAATGCATCCTCCTTGGGTAATCTCGATGCTGTAAAATATATCATAGATAAAGGAGTACACGTTTATACTGGTGACGGAGATGGTTTCACATCCCTTTATCACGCATCACAGAACGGACATCTTGGGGTTGTTGAATACCTAGTGAATGCAGGAGCCGATGTGAACAAAGTAGCAAAGAATGGCAGCACACCTCTGGATACGGCTTCAGATAATGGTCATGTAGACATTGTACAATATCTCATTTCTCAAGGAGCGAACCCGAATTCTTTTGATAACGATGGCTATACACCTCTTTATACTGCTTCACAAGCGGGTCATCACGATGTTGTTAAATATCTAGTGCGTGCAGAAGCTGATGTGAACAAAGCAGCAAAGAATGGTTCAACACCTCTGTATGCGGCTTCAGATAATGGTCATATAAACATTGTACAATATCTCATCTCTCAAGGAGCGAACCCGAATTCTTTTGGTAACGATGGCCATACACCTCTTTATACTGCTTCACAAGAGGGTCATTTGGATGTTGTTAAATGTCTAGTTAATGCAGAAGCTGATGTGAACAAAGCAGCAAGGAATGGCAACACACCTCTATATGCGGCTTCACAAGAGGGTCATCTGGATGTTGTTAAATGTCTAGTTAATGCAGAAGCTGATGTGAACAAAGCAGCAAGGAATGGCAACACACCTCTGTATGCGGCTTCACAAGAGGGTTACCTGGATGTTGTTAAATGTCTAGTTAATGCAGAAGCTGATGTGAACAAAGCAGCAAGTAATGGCAACACACCTCTGTATGCGGCTTCACAAGAGGGTTACCTGGATGTTGTTAAATGTCTAGTTAATGCAGAAGCTGATGTGAACAAAGCAGCAAGTAATGGCAAGACACCTCTGTATGCGGCTTCAGATTTTAGTCATGTAGACATCGTACAATATCTCATTTCTCAAAGAGCGAACCCGAATTATGATGATAACGAGGGCTATTCACCTCTTCATCGCGCTTCAGAGGAGGGTCATCTCGATGTTGTTGAATGTCTTCTAAATGCAGGAGCAGATGTAAACAAACAAGCAAGTGATGGTGATCTATCCCTCCTTGCTGCCTCTCGTGGGGGTTATCTAGACATTATAAAGTATCTCATTACAAAAGGAGCAGATATCGAGTCACGTAACAATGACGGTTGGACAGTTTTTCATTTTGCAGCAGATAATGGCCACTTGGAATCTTTGGAGTACTACTTGAGGAACAACACTAGCAGTACTTCGGGGAACAGTCACAACCTTCTTAAAGTAAGACTTCAGGTAGGTTACTCAGTTTAAACTGCTTTTACGAAACTGTCGGGTCGTGGCTCAGCGATGAGTTACACGATATCAGGCTTTGAGATATTCGAGTCAAGATTGAAAGTAAGTTCCGGAAAGTTTTAACATTTCTTTATTTTACCTCACCTACATAATTTTAGAAACTCAGTTACTGTTCTCCCTGACTTAATGTTCTCAAATAGACCTATTATTGCGACATAACTGTAGCCGCGGACACCTACCCCGGTACGTAATAAGAGATTATTGTACGTAAGTGGTAGATAATTGTCCCAGAGATAATATGTCTTTAAAGAAAACATGCCTACGGTAGAGTTACACATTTAATTTCAAATGATGGGAAAAAGATGGGGAAATAAAGATTATACTAAAAGTCGTGTAGGAATAAATAGTATTGGTGTAATAAATAAAATTCCGTTTTGACGATATGGAGTCAATGAGAACAATGAATAAGTTTCAAAAATTGCGAAAAAGGAGTTAACATTAACAATTTTCAACTTTTCATATTTCAATCTTTCATTGTTATGATTCAAATCTTCACTTGATTATCTGAAAGAATGAAATCAAGAGAGTAATTCTAAAGGGGGACACGATACAATACACGAAAACGTTTTAAAAAAAGGCGAAAGCAAACGACCAGCAAGGAAACAGAAAATCCGATTTGTAAGAAGACATTTTACAATGTGCAGAGTTGTGCGCATTAAGCACACCATTAGGAATTTGGACTGGCTAAAAGGATTTTACTAGTAACCTATTCACTAATTCTGCACTGAGTTTCCTAAATCTCATTGTAACGAAATAATTGTTCATTACCTACAGTGCTGGAGATATCCGTAACATGAAATATCATTACCGAAAACTTATGATTAGATTTACATATTAATGCGAAATACCTTCTCTATCAACACGATGATCATTCAGGTCATTAAACATTCCATATATCTTGTCATATGTGTATCTTCCTCATTTTATCTCATCTAGGGAAATCTGTTTTCATCGATAAAACTAGAGTAGGACTACATGTATTTTATGGTAGGCCTACTTAAAATTTTAGGTAACGTATCGATTATATTTATGTTACAGACCTTAAAAGGTGTCACGCCACTTATGGTTGCCGCTAGAGGAGGACATCTGGACTGTGTACGTCTGCTGCTCGAAAACAATTCATATATTGAGACAGAGGATGCTGAAGGATGGACAGCCCTCCATTATGCTGCAGCAAGGTGAACTGCTTATACAACATCTCCCATACTTTTAATGTACTTTTTATTTTCCTCCAGTACTGCATCACAAAATACTTCTATGATTCAATTGTATTGTTGTTACATTTGATAAAAACATTCATTTTTTGGTTTTAAAGCGAAACAATTTTTCATAGTTTTCGTAAAATAGTGTTAAAATATTAATTTTTGAATGAGCATTTTAACGGTATGTTTATTAGCGGTTCCATATGACATGCAGATTTGAAAGTGAATGAGACACATCCTAAAGTTCCGCTACAATTACATCACCTTGTATTCAAACAAATTAATGTAGTTTGCTTCCGAAAAAAATATGCGAAAATAATTCGCCATTTTGGTAACTATCAAAGCAAATTCAATTTAGTTTATAATTTCAGGATAATGCTATTATCGATTATAAACAGATCATTTACAATACCTATAAATACTTTGTACATAACGAAGCAGTCTTAGATTCCAAATGTTACTTATATAAGAATATAGTTAAAAACAAAAATAGTACTGTGGCGGTTAATTAAAAATAGACAAGTGAAGAAGAAAAAATGAAGCGACCGTAGGATATAAACCAATCTACGAATTCTTGGTGTTAACTCTTTGTTAAGTAATGACAGATGTATTCAAATTTGTCCAAACGTGAACACGGGGCCAAACCGTTACTAAGTGAGCACAGTTCAGAAAACTAAGAGGATAAGTTTGTTAGAAAGAAAAACAAATTAAACAAAGAGAAGACTGGGAATAAGTTTAAAAAGAATGAGGAAGAGATGCGCGAGAATGACAAAACAAAGAAAAGGACTAAAGATTTCGCGGGAAAAGAAGAGGGGAACGAAAGGGGAAGGAAGGAGTGCGAAAAAAAGAGAGGAAGAGAGAGAAAGAGAGAAAGAGAGAATGGGGGAGGAAAAGAAATAAAAAGAAAAAAAAGAGAACAGAAAAAAAGTAGATATACATTTAAATATATATAATCGATTTGAAGTGTGCTTTCTCGTTTTCATGAAGTGGGAATGAATCAATAATGAAGGATTTACTAGACCGGAAAGCAATTATGAGCGCGAAGCTTTCTAGAAGAGGCCAATCACCGACAAGTATTGCACTGAGCTCTGGTAATGCTGATACTGCAAAGATTCTGCTTGATAAGGTACATGTAGCTGCTACTCATTCAGCTTATTATATAGCTAATGCATTACCATCAGTTCCACCATCACCCATACTATACAGTGCGTCCCAGAAAAAACGAAACCGAGAAGTATCGATGTTCTATCATAACTTAATAACAACCATAATTAATGAATGATACATATTTGGAAAGCTTAGAGTCTCCTCTTTCATGTGATGAAACTCAGATGATGCATATTTCATGCATGAGTGATTAAAAGCAATTTGAAGAAAGGAAACCAAAAAGACATTTGGCGGGCGGTATCTGAATTTCAAGAAAAATTCACATTTCTAGAAAGTTGAGTTTCTGCCCTTTCATATGACAGCTCAATCAGGAAAAATGAGCGAGGAATAACAAAGTTCTGTTTGTTTAAAGTAGCCCTTACATTTTCATAATTTTAACAAACGAATTCGTTTTCACTGGGTGCCTGCCATAGCAAGCAGGTTTGACAAAAGACTTAACTCCGTTTCGTTGACAATCAGCCATGCATGGAGACTCTCGTCTACGGTTAATTGTCAACGAAACGGAGTTAAGTCTTTTGTTAATTTCGTTTATTGATACGGCAGGCAGACAGTGAAAACGAATTCGTTTAATAAAATTATGGAAATGCAAGCACTACTTTAAACAAGCAGAACTTTGTCATCCCTCACTCATTTTTCCTGATTGAGGTGTCATATGAAAGGGCAGAAACTCAACTTTCTAGGAATGTGAACTTTTCTTCGAAATTCAGATACCGCCCGCCAAATGTCTTTTTGGTTTCCTTTCTTCAAATTGCTTTTAATCACTTATGCGTGAAATATGCATCATCTGAGTAGCATCACATGAAAGAGGAGACTCTAAGCTTTCCAAATGTGTATCATTCATTAATTATAGTTGTGATTAAGTTATGATAGAACATCGATACTTCTCGGTTTCGTTTTTTCTGGGACGCACTGTATAACCCCCTCCCCCACTACCTCTACTTTTACAGCAATCACTCTCATATACAGCTGTACTATAAGGCCTGTTGATATTATATGTAAATAAGTATCTGCTCTCTTTTGATGGTTATAACAAGCCAATAGTAAATGTATATCACATTATCATATAATGATAATGATAGTAACGAATGTTCGACCACAATTCATTATCTATTAACCCTAATAAGGCCGGGGGCCATCACCCCGCCCCCCCCCCCCCCCCTCCACGATTTTTCTGATTGTTCGGGAACGCATATGGATGGCGCCCCGCCGCTCGCTGACTTTTTTCTTTCGAGTCTTGCGCAATTTTTAAAAGATTTTGTTTTTAACATCGGACCTACGGTTACAAGGTCACGTGACATTTTGTCTTTGCATGTCAGCCCGAAAATCACTCATTTTCGTGATTTGTGTACAACATACAGGAAAAGTCACTTTTCCTAACAAAAGATCAAACGTGGGTTATTGGGTCTTGTTTAACGTTTAGGTGGTTGTTTTGGGAGTCAAAATAGTTGAATTGTAGTTAGAAATGAAATAAAACATCAATCACAATAAAATACATAAGTTAAAATAACAATAAAATACATAAGAAATTATCAAAACAAGAGATAACATAAGAAATAAGCTGGCTCTTCCAAATGTTTTTGTTGTATTATTATTCAGAATAGTCTAATGAATATATGTAGTTAAAAAGAATGCCTAAATATAAATAATATATGATTTATGGGTAAACAAAATTATGACCTTATTTGGATAAATTACCATAAATATGCAAATGAGTAAATTTTTCATAAAAATTAAATTATCATAGTATTCTATACACTTCACTTGACATGCGTGCAAAATTTCGCGGAGATCGGCTGTTTCACGGCCGAGATGTTATGGGGGGGGGCATAATGCCCCCCCCCCCCGGTCGTACTAAGACCTCAAATAGCCCGGCCTTTTTAGGGTTAATTCTCATCATTTGTGTCTTCTACTCTATGTTATTCATAGCGTTATCATATTTATAAAGGATATGAAATCATATGTGTGTATGTATCCTCCGTCACAGAAATATACAAATAATAATTAAAGCAAATGAAACAAAAATCATTGAGAGTTCTTTTCTTCGCTGTGACCGGTTTCTATTTGATTTCTTCAATAGTCTATGAGAAGGAATACAATTGAAGCCGTTCATAGTGAAGAAGAGAACTCTCAAGAATTTGTATATCAATTGTTTTGATTATTATATGTATATTTATATATATATATATATATATACGGACCAAATAAATATTCATAAAGGGTACATCACCAGTACGTAACAATATTGGAATCCTTATTTTTGTTTTTCTTCTCTTTTTTTTTCTTCAAAGGATTTATCATCTATACACTACATCGACAGTGCTGGTCTAAAACCCATTCACCTTGCTACTGTAAGCGGGCTTACATCAGTCATTGAAAAGTTGGTTTCACTAGGTGCTGGTTTAAATCCTCAGTCACATGATGGTCAGACGCCTTTACATGATGCCATCAGACTATGCCACTGTAAGAAAAGACAGGTTGAAGTGACTACAGCTTTACAGCAGGTTACGTATTTCTTGTTTTTATAATTTCTCTTCTAGTGAAAACTGTTAATCTATCCATTCAGCTCACACACTGTCGTGAGTGCGCATGCGCGTGATTTATTTACCTTTTTACAAACCGAATTTCTGAATATGGGAAGGACAAGGTCCTTGATAATGAACTTTATAAATATTTGTTGATATGGAATTCATAAAATTCACACCCTCTCCTTTTTTGTTTATGTGTGTAAATATATACTTTTCATGATCTTTTCACCAACTGGTGCAAGGAAACTTTGATGAATGTTTGTGTTTTGCGTGATAGTAAATGCGTGGGAGGGGCCATCAAACGAATGTGGGGGGTGTGCTCATTCGCATTTAGTATGTATGTGTTGAATCATTATTAATACTATTAGTAGTAGCAGTAGTATTATTAGGCCTATCGTTATCAATATTATTACCATTATCACAAGCTACCATTATTATCATCATCATGATTTCATATTAGAACTCGATAGTACCTTTTGAAAAGACTGCTGCAAGTATAAATATAATGATCTTAATCCCTGTTGTCGTAACATTCGGAAAAACTGGTAGAAGTGTAGAAAAGCATTTAATCTAGACAGTCTATTTGTGTTTGTTTGTTTATACTCATAATAATCATATTGTTTGACTGCTTTCATTTAATAAATAGATACAACAAGTGAGTGATGATGACATATCCCCCGCGGAGGCTCTGGTACAATTCCTTATCAATCAAGGATCCAAGATCGACATCGAGGATAACAACGGTTTTACCCCGGTACAGTATGCCAGAGATGAGCGCATTAGACAAATGGTATTCAGGAGGTGAGAAAAGTATAACAATTAGTGAACCAGGCTCTGTAAAATATAATTCAAGATTTAGCTCTTAAACAATGAATGAATATTATATAAATGAAATTATCTGTGTAATTAATGTACATATATTTTATAAAATTATTGTATGTCTCCTCTGAAAGATTCGACTTTAATTTCTCATCAGATGTGTCGACTTCCTATTTTATTTTGCTGTAAACATCAGTCCTTAAAAGATTATAACTATGCATCATGACATTTAGTTACCAATATTCCAAACAAGGTTGTTACATGACTCTAATATGACACAAAATATACTAAGCGGCGTAAGATATGGATGTATAATAATTTATACGTCAGAATTATAAATAGACTAATACAACGTATATTTTGTTATTTTGGCAGCTTATCTAAAGATGATGTTCATATATTCCGCGGTACGTATTTCATCTGATTTTAACTGGCTTTACTTCTCACAAAGGTTTTTAAATGCTCAGCC